AAGAGTGGGGAAGCATTAAAAAAATATAAAAAATTTTTTGTTACTACTATCATAAAGTTCACTTCATGATTCCATTTAACTTTGATCTAAAACATTTTTTTCTATCTCTCATAGTTTCGACGATATTCACGTCGGAAGAAAAAAACTGATTTTTTTCAAGGGATGGTTTCATCCCTTTAAAACGGAATTGAGCACCAACGAAAAATAGTTTCATGCTACGGATGAACTGCTCTACTTTTACACCAAGAGTCAGATTTTTCTGAATTTTCGGGTTCGCAAACTTCCCTTGTAAGTTAGGGAAATTTTGTCCCAAATCAAATGAAACGGCTCCGGAAAGAGTGACACTAAATGAAGCTATAAACTTCACACAATTGCAATGCATTAGTAAGTTTTATATAACTTTATCAATTTAAACATATAGATGAGGGAACCGGGACTGCAGCGAATCTTGATGCCTAATAATAATTTATTAATTTAAAATTAAAACTTAAAATTATTTAACAAATGAGATCTTAAAACGCCAACAACGGTACAAAGCGGACCTTGGTGCTTCCATATAATATTAGTGCGAATCTTACAATTTTTGGTTTATATAAAAATTATATGTGACTGCAAATCGCGTGCATCTTCATACCTCCGAACCAAATAGTATGTAATATTACAATTAAATTGCTAACAGCAATCTAATAAATCGATGTCCCAAAGCATCAAGTTCTGTGAAATCTCTCTTCCCCCTCACCTTCGCGACCTCAAATAAATGCTTACTTGTAACTATACGAATTTGTAAAGAATTTATTGCGAAAAAATATTATCATGTTCTCAGTTAGAAATCGAACCCGGAACATCAACAACGGTACAAAGCGGACCTTGGTGCTTCCATATAATATTAGTGCGAATCTTACAATTTATGATTTATATAAAAATTATATGTAGCTACAAATCGCGTGCATCTTCATAGCTCTGAACCAAATAATATGTAACATCACAATTAAATTGCTAAACTATCTAATAAATCGATGCTCAAAACATCAAGTCCTGTGAAATCCCACCGCCACTTTCGCGACATCAAATAAATGCTTACTTGCAATTATATAAATTTGTAAAGAATTTATTGCGAAAAAATATCACCTCTTGTTCTCAATCAGAAATCAAACCCGGATCTCCACGTTTGCCAGATGGGTGTCCTATCTTTAGACCATCGAGGCATGTGATAACGTTCATTACAATAAACAACCTAGCGCGATGGGGGGAATTTCACAGGACTTAATGCTTTGAGCATCA